TAGACTAGTTTTCAGCATTTTAAAATTAGGAGATTTCACATAAAAATCCATTTGACAAGTTCACACACAAGTCATAAGAAAAAATATTTGACATCTATAATCTAATTCAGGTACATTGCCTCACAGAAGCCTTCAGGGTGTAAAAAAAATAAGAAATATTTGGTATGACGCCTTTAGTAATCAAGGTCCCATGATCCCCCATGCTGTACCATTTTTAACTTTTTATTTACCTACTTATTTGGTACTGGGGATTGAACTCAGAACATCTTACCACCCAGCCAAGCCCCGCTCCCCCCACTCCTCCAGGGCACAGTCTTGCTAAGTTGCTGAGGCGGGTCTGGAACTTGCAATCCTCTTGCCTCAGCCTCCGGAGTCACTGGGATCACCAGTGGGGGACCCAGCGTGGGACCCTGCATCCTGCACACACTGTTTCATCATTTCCAGTGTAAACATACCTTTGGTTTTTTTTTTWAAATGCATTCTACATTATGATCCAAAACACACTACTAGTGTTATCCCAGTTGTTTAGGACTTTTCAATAACTTTTCGCCTATTTAAAAAAAATTTACATTCAAATATACACAACAAAGTGTTTGGACACTGGCCTGATATGGTGCTCTGTATTTTTAACACATTTTGCAGGGGATGGTTACTGAGGATCGCACTGGGGCACTCTACCACTGAACTACATCCCAGCCCTTTTTTATTTTGAGACAGGGTCTCACTAAGTTGCTGAGCTCAGCCTTGTTCCATCTTCCCACCTCAGCCTCCTCACTGGGATTCTGGGAATAGGCCACTAGGCCCAGCATCACAGGCTTTTTTTTTTAACTATATAAGTACGATTTAAAATCCATTTACGTCTGCAAATCCATCACCCTTGTGATTTGGGTGTGTGTGGAAGGGGGATCTGTCAACAGAGAATAGACGAGAACTTCCTTAATATGATAAAGACCTTGTGTGAAGCTATCACCCAAGATGACGATCAAGACAAGGATATTTATTCTCAAAACCTCTCTTCAACATTGTGCAGAGGATCCCACAAAACTGTCCCTGCTGCAGACTAGGATGCACACTTCTGCCCACAGGACGGCTCATCTGGGGATTCCCATGAACAACTGGGAGGGGAAAAAAAGGCGTCTGACTTGGAAGAAGAAAAATTATTTCTCTGCAAATAGGATGATCTTGTATGTGGGAAATCCTAAAGAATCCATTAAAAATTGTTCAAATTAATAAGTTCACTAAGCTTGTAGGATATAAGATTGTATATTGTATTTCTACACACTAGTTATGAACAATCTAAACCTGAAATTAAGCAATTCTGTTTACAATAACATCAAAAACTAAACTTTAGAAGTGTAAGGACTTGTACACTGCAAACCACAAGTATCAAAGGAAATGTTAAGAGATTTAAATGGGAAAACAGGGCTGGGGTTGTGACTCAGTGGTAGAGCACTCACTTAGCATGTGCAAGGCCCTGGGTTCTATCCTCAGCACCACATGAAAAGAAATAAGTAAAATAAAGATATTTTTAAAATAAATAAATAAATGGGAAAACATCCCGTATTCATAGATTGGAAGACAAGATAGCAACATTTCCCAACCTGATCTACAGATTCAATGCAATTATCACCAAAATCCTAACTTATGGGGCTGGCATTGTGGCTCAGCAATACAGTGCTCGCCTAGTACGTGTGAGGCACTGGGTTCTATCCTCAGCACCACATGAAAAGAAATAAGTAAAATAAAGATATTTTTAAAATAAATAAATAAATGGGAAAACATCCCGTATTCATAGATTGGAAGACAAGATAGCAACATTTCCCAACCTGATCTACAGATTCAATGCAATTATCACCAAAATCCTAACTTATGGGGCTGGCATTGTGGCTCAGCAATACAGTGCTCGCCTAGTACGTGTGAGGCACTGGGTTCTATCCTCAGCACCGCATAAATAAAAATAAAGGTATCATGTCGATCTACAACTAAAAAWTTTTTTTTAAATCCTGACTTATTTTTGCAGCAGTTTATCAGTTGATCTTAAAATTCATATGGAAATTAAAGGAACCCAGAATATCCAATGCTGGAAAGAACAAAGTTAAAGGGCTTGTACTAGCAGGTTTCAAAACTTCAATAATCGAGACAAGTGAGGAACTGGCATTAGAATAATCATACACATCAATGGAACAGAATTGAGAGTTCTCAAATAGGCCCTTACACTTACGGCCAATTAACTTCCAACTAGGGGTCACACCATCATTTCAAGAAATGCTTCCAGGAGGAGTAGATATCCCTAGCAGAGACTGAAGTTGGACCCTACCTCACACCACACACAGACACCACCCCTGTGGCTCACACATCTGCCCACTGAGCAGGTGAGGGGGCTGGGGAAGGGCAGTTCCATTTCCTGGACTCCCATGATCAGCCTAAATTGGGGAATTTATTAAATTTCTCTAGAAAGAAGGTAGAGGGAGCTGCTGTGACACCACCCTGCACACTCCCCGCCCAGCCTCTTGTACACTGGTGCTGAGTTCACCATCAGCTGCTGTAGTGTGCCAAGACAGAAGCCAGACCAGCTGCAGGTGTCCCCTCAGCCTGGCTGCCTGTTCCTGGATGGCCCTTTGAACTGCTGCTGCCTGAAGGATCTCAGTCAGTGAGAGAGTGCTGTCCTAGGTGGCCTTCATGGCCCTGAGGGTCTCAGGGATGGGCTCCCACCTGCTGGCCTGGCCAGCCTTCATGCTCCTGGGGCTTGTGGGCATCTGTACCAAAGCTGAGGAAATACCCCTTCCTTGGTCAAGGAAACAGCCTCCCCCGACATTTTTTTAGGGGGTGGTCCTAGGGATTGAACTCAGGGTCCTCAACCACTGAGCCCCATCCCCAGCCCTGGCTCTGAACTTGTGATCCTCCTATCTCAGCTTCCCGAGCCGCTGGGATTACAGGCGTGTGCCACCGCGCCCCGCCAGCCTCCACTTTTGAGGGAAAATTTAGTGTCATATTTCTTCAGTGGATATGTAACTTTACAAAAGCTTTTTTCAGAGAATTTAGCTAGTTAGGGGCTGGGGATATAGCTCAGGTGGTAGAGTACTTGCCTCATATAAACAAAGCCCTGGGTTCAATTWAAAAAAAAAAGAAAGGAAATTTAAATAGTATCTGAATATTCTGTGAGGTTCCTTTTGCTTAGATTATGAAAAAGTATAATTACTGCATTAAGTAAAAATGAATATGTGAAAAAAAATCATTTTGCAAATCTTCAGACACTCCTGCAGATATCTCAGCTGGTCCTTTTGTGCATGCAATTCCTGACAGCCACATGCAGCCATCTGAACAGCACTCTACCCCCTGAAGAAAAGGTGCAGTCCGGTGGAGCCCAGGGCTCCCGAAGGCCCCCGCCGTCACAGACCAGGCTGGCCGGAAAGCCTACGTGGCCGGGAATCCCAGGCCTTGTAGGTGAAACAGAATCTAGAGAAGCTGGGACGTTAGAAAACACTCGTCTCCAGACGGACCTGTCTCGCTGCAGTCTTGGAGGGGCTCCTGTCTTGACCACTGGTGTCTAAAGCGCTGTCTAGTCCCTGCCGGAAAAGTCCTGGTGAAGAACAGCTGCTGTTGAACACAACAGAATAAGGCCAGGCCACACAGCATTCTCGTTCCAGAATCAGCAATATTTACTCAAAAGTGCCAGAAGCCCGGCGTCCCACAGCAGTGTCACTCAGAAGGCTCCGTGTGACAAGTGTTCTCCTCCCAGGACACACCATGGGCATTAACAAACTTGGGAAAGAACACACTTAACGTAACCACTTTGGGGTATATTACATTTTACAGCCTCCATTACAGTTTTTAGAAATAAACTTTGCCTTGACTTGCCTAGCACAAAATCAAAGGTAACTTTAGGAGGGGAGAAACACACAGCGCTGAGTGGTCTCCAGGGGTTGACGGAAGCATGAGCTACTACAGATGGGAGACCCCACCCGCTCCGTCCCGGTGACAGTCACCCAGCTCATCTTACAAAAACACCAACAGCAGCAAAATCACAGCTTCAGATGTTATTCAATCTACAATGTAAGATACACATTGCCAAAATAAGTGGTGACAGTCGGAAACAGTTCACAATGCAGAGAAGTCTGTTTCCTGGCTGCCTGTCATCCAAGCCTCCACTGAACACAGCAGGTCAAGGTCCTGCATCACACTGAGCTGGAATGAACTCGTTGGGCCCACGGGTTGCAGGTGCGACTGCTCCTGACCACMCAAGGCCACCTCGGACACGAGGATGTTAAAAGTGGGAGCACAGTATACAAACAGACGTGGCTTCTGGCCACCGCGGCCCACATCAGCAGACCACGGCGCTGCCACAGGAAGATGACGGCTAGCAGTGGAGGGTCACAGCGTCACTCAGCCCGCCGACTCTGCCAGGAAGGGGCCCAAGAGGATGGCCTGCCTTTTCTGGCAGCTCCTGCTCTAAGGCGGCCCTGGACAGYGGCCCCCGAGACAGCGCCTGCCACGCCGCTCCCCTCTTGACCTCTCTAACCAGAGCTGGCACAGGGGCCAAGAGCCAGCTGCACTGTCGGGCGAGGAGAGGGGATGGGGAAAGAAGGTCCCCAGGGACAGGCCCCGAGGCTGAGCTGGACCAAGCCTGCCAGAGACCTTTCTAGAATCGGAAGGCGGGTGGGGTGCTCACCCTGAAAGAGGCCCCRGGCCCGACTGTGCAGCCCGAGGAGCTGGGTTCCCAAGCAGGACGTGGCAAAGGCCCCAAAAGCAGGCGCAGGGAGCCAGGGCTGAGCGACTGTGGAAGGCAAAGGGCGAAGCCCCAGCCCCTGACCTGACACCACGGACCTCCCCTCTGACCCCGCCTTCCCCCACACAGGGCAGTCAGCCAGCAGGGGTCAACGAGGGCTTTCTGGGTGGAGGTCTCAGCACGGCCTCCACCCAGGCAGCGCGATGCCCCCCGCAGGCTGGGTGGGCTTCCAGGGCAGGACGAGCCCCGCCTCTCTGGGGGGGATGGCCCGGCTTCAGCGGCTGCGCTTCTTTTGTGGGAAAAAGCTGTACTTGGTGGGGTTGAACTCTTCCCAGATGCGCTCGAACTCCTCCAGGAACAACTTCACGTACGCAGCGTCCTCCATGATCAGGACGTTCTCCCTGTTGTTCTGGATGGCCTGCGTGGTCCAGTTGAGGGAGCCAGTGATGAGCACCTTCTTGTCCACGATGGCAAACTTGTGGTGCATGTAGCCCAGGTCCTGGTCGTGCCGCACCTGGATTCCTGTACAGGAAAGGCGTCTCACTCCCCTCCCTGCACGGCCTGACCCCAGGGGGCACGCGGCAGGGCAGGGCCAGCCTCCAAGGAGCAAGTGGTGGGAGGTGGGACAGCACTGTGACTGGACCACACCCACCCGCACAGCCCTTTGCCAGGTCTGGGGTCTAAACCAACTGCCCACCCTGTTYCTTCATGGTCCAGCTCTGGGTAAGGGTACAGAGCAGGGCACCTGAGGCTGTCCTCACCTCTCCTTTCCACTCCCTCTTTCCCAGGCCAGGCCCGCTGCACAGAGGAAGAGACAGGCTGAGGAGGCAGGAGGGAGGCCCCGCCCACCTGGCCAGGGTCACACCAGGGACAGGAGGGAAGACCCCTGGGCCTGGCCGGCCCTGAGACACGGCACCTCCCCCGCCCTCGTGGTCCCAGTTCTCCCACTCCCCACAGTGAGGGGCTGCCTCTGTCACAGTCCTCAGGGCACCAGCCCCCAGGAGGCCACCTGCCACCACCATCTGCTCTCAGAGTGGGACTGCTGGCCACATGCCAACAGGGGGCTGCRGAACAGCGGGGCCACATTTACCAAACAGAAGCACCTGGGGTCCAGATTGGGTGTCTGAGGTGAACAGTGAGTTCTGAAAGTCCCTATGTCCCCTCCAGCACAGGTTTCTCGTTGTGCATGYGAAAGTCAAACTCGGCTGTGCACCCTATCCTCCCTCCTCAGGAGGGACCTACCTGGTGCTCGAACCTGGAACAACCCAGCAGACCCCGTCCCTCCACCCTCAGAACAGATCTGAACCCCCACCCTCTGGACACCCACCTTACCACGCCCACCCTAGCCACCCGCCACCCTCCTCACCTGCTCCTCAGGTGTCTGCACAACCTGAGGCCACACGTGCCATTTCCCGCCACACAACAGTGTCCTACAACACCAGCCCCCTGGCATCTGTCACCACTTCTCCACTTCAGCCACAGGGACCTCACCCTTCCTCAGCAGCTCAGGACTGAACGTCTGAACAGCGCATTTGCTGTCCCTCAGAGCACTCTCTCAGGTCTGGCAGCTGTCCTACCGTCCCTCTTCCTCCCACACTGAAGTCTTCCAGACCCTTCTTAAGTTCCTCAAATCAGCTGGGGGGAGTGGCACACACCTGTCATCCCAGCAGCTTGGGAGGCTGAGGCAGGAGGATCACGGGTTCAAAGCCAGCCTCAGCAAAAGTGAGGCGCTAAGCAACTCAGGGAGACCCTGTCTCTAAATAAAATACACAATAGGGCTGGGGATG